TGGGTACAACCAAATCATCATACAACATGAAAACCTCCGGCGTAGCGTCACCGCCGTCTCCGGCATCAATTCCGTTATCGCAATCGGCGTGGCTAGAGGTTCGTTTGTTCTACGTACGCATATCGCCTTGCGTCGTTGAGAATGTCCCTGATTTTCTCACCCTTCGTCATCCTCGCCGCGAAACCGGCGCTTCTCTCGAGGTTAACGGCGTTCGCGTTCCTTCCTCGCAGACGGCGTCGCTTAAACTCCGACGCGACAGGATCGACAGGGAATCGTCGGAGGTGACTTACGTTAGCACCGAGACCGTGCGCGTCACCGGATGCGTTGATTTCGAGGTTTACGATAACGAGGATATGGTTTTGTGCGGGAATCTGGATAGAATCGAAGGTGTTTGGAATAACGGAACTGTGAGCGATCCTAAGACTGGATGGGGTATGGATTGTTATATGGCAATGGGAAATGGGTCAGGCTCTGTACACGGGTCGGGTTCTTCTTCCTCTGCGTTTTTCCAGCCGAAGCTTGGCGTTTCGTCTCCGTCCGTAGAGGTTTATATAGCTGGTTGTTGTGGTGGTGTTCCGGTGATATTGACCAAGACGATTCAGGCGAGTCCGAGGAGGAAGGTGGCTAGGCACGTGACGCTTGATGCTATACCGGAGGACGAGGAAGTTGACAAAGTGCAAGACATTGTTACCACTGGTGATGGATTGGCCCGGCAAAGGAAAGTACAGGTATGATTCGGATTCAGCACTTCTCTGATTGATGATTGTCTATGATTCTGAAATAGATTCGGATTTATAACTCTCTCATTGATGATTGTCTTTAGTGTTTGAGTGGTTTCATAGACGAGTTTTTGTTATTTATGAATAAGATCTATCGCAAGTTTCTGGGGAATTTTGCTTCTTTTTAGTGTCTGATGTTGATTCTACAGCAAAATTTGAAACTTCGAGTCTGTTGGTGGTACGAAGTAGTGAGTTTATGGATAAATTTGTATGTTTACTGTTAGATGAGTTACATAAATAAGTCAAGAGACGTTCTTGATATATTGAGAGTTGTTTACATGTATTTCCATCTCTTTGCACATTAAAAAAC